CCCATAGAACTATCACGTAGGTATAAAGCGATGATAAAAAATAAATTATTCACTAGTAATTGTAACCATCGCTAAGAAAAATAATTAAATCGTGAGAACAAATTTTATTTACCTACATCCTATTATGATGTCTCTAAACAATGTAGTGGAATGAGACATTTATAGGAATGTATTACAAATATGTATTATACACCTAATATAGTATGGTCTGTATTATATTACTTTATTATCTATGTTTTATCAAGAAATACGCTTAACACTAGTAGTAGTTTCTTACATTTCTCCATTGGCATATCACAAAAGTCTCTGACTTTGGAATACCTAAACATCATCATATTGGTTTGTATTCTGTTTCCAACGTTAAATTTCTCAAAAACCAGATTTTTTAGTATCTATTCGTGGTATATTTTAAATATACGACGGGTTCTCATATAATCTTAAATATATAAACCTTATGCTAAATAGAGAGAAAAAGAGTAACTTATTTTCTTATCGTCTTTAATAGAACCCCTTCGAGTAAACATAAATGATCTTAGGTTGATCGTAGTAGAACATCTTGTACTTCGAATAAATTTAGACTATAAATTATGGTCAGCATTAGAGGACATGGCCTGCTCTAAGCGAGAATTCATCTTACGTTGATTGTAGAAAAATTTCTATAAGCTTGTCAAGTTTGATCTATCTCGAAATCGTTAATGGTATGACTAGATAAATATGATAGGTATATATAACAATTTATTTTGGCGTATAAGTTTAATTTTTCAATTATTTACATATGAGTATATCATCAATCCAATATTAGTTGTCTGTTTTTATATAATACGTCATTTGCCATCAGATAAATGATAGGGAGAATAAATAGGACACTTTTCTACACAGACTTTAGTTACAGAGTCTCTTACGGTGCCTGGATTACACCAGCAGTCGCAATAATGGCTTCGCTGTGAATGAGCACTTGGTAAAGGGCATATTTCTTCAAAAGCGCAATCCGGACCTGGGTTATATTCACCGGATGGACATTCCTCTGAAATAGAAAAAAAAAATTGTCATTCAAAATGCAGAAGAAAGAAATGTTTTTACATAAGTAGTAATTAATTTATAGTTTTTCCATAACCGCAATTTTCATATAAATATATAAAAAATTATTTCACAAAGATCTATATTTTCTCATATTAAGAAAATTGTGGAGTCGGTAAATCATTATCAGTATTATGTCAACCCATTATCATCCCACTAGTGGGATGGATCTCTCAGTATATGAGAATGTACAATGTACAGCCTTCAATTAGACCTTGAGACCTTCGGTTCCTAGGTAATGTAAAGTAGGTAAGGTTTCATTTCGAATTTTCCGGCCCTTAGACAAATTTGTTTGTGCGGCATAATAACTTTCCAAATCCAGAGTATAAATATAGAGGAGTAGAACAAGAGTAAGAGTAGAGTAACAATCAAAAATAACGTTAAGCAGCAACTTAAAATCGGAACAAAAATCCAAAAGATCTCGGGTATGAAATACTTATCTGAAGATTAAGAAGGACTACTATAAGTATAGAGTATTAACATCGCATCATGTGTAATTTCTTCATCATGAATCTTATCCAGATTCAAAGTGTTTTGTCATTTGTAAAAGAGATTCCAATAATATTACCAATTATCTGTAATATTACTATAAACACATCAAAATACAACTTAAATAAGAACTCAATAAATATAATAGAGAAACTTAAGCCCAAAGAGACATGTAATTTAAGATTAAATTATTTTTTCTTCTAGATACAAACAAGGCACATAAAACCTATATCTAAGTGAGAAAAATATTATTATTTACATTTTAGAGCAATTAGTAGGTACTCACCCGTGCAGTAAGTCACGCCAACCAGCAGTACAATGACAATACAGACGTTCATGTTCCTTGATTGCTCTCCGGTTTGTTACTGTTATCAGCAAGTCGTACCGTTTATATGGTAACCTTCACCTCACTCATATCGCTGGCTACATTGTATGACCCGCTCGTAGAAGCTGCACGGTGATGCACAGACCGACGTCAGTGTTGTCCTTATTTATTATCATTTCATCTATATGCAACACTAGCTGTGCTCGCGACTTCGTCCGAGTGGAATAGTGATCGTGGATCGTATTTTTAATTATTTAGTCAATTTATATTACAAATATGACATCGTTCTAGCTACAAAGTGACCAATATCGACACAAACTTTCATCGTATATTTTATTTTACCATCTTAAGTGAAAAAAAATTACAAACTTTGATGTCATATATATTTATATTTAATCAATAGCCTAAAACTGATTGTTATATTCTACCTTTAAAAATAATAATACTTCAATAACCCCTTATAAACATTTTCGCATTAAAAAGTAGTCCTATGTCCTTTCTCAGGGTCTAGATTATCTCTGTACGAAATTTGATTTAAATCGGTTCAGTAATTTTGGCGTGAAAGAGCGACAAACAGACACAGTTACATTTGCTTTTATAATAATAGTATGGGTTACTGGAAAAGGTATTCTGCATTTGTAATAAATGGATACCTAGAAATAGGGGTAATATACAAGTTTGTTTATCTATATCTATAGAGGTGAATAATTTTAATTATTTACGACTGACTGTTGCTAAAATTTGAATAAAACAAGTAGATAGACGGAAACCGAACATACTACGGCTTTTATAAAATTAATAATATGTATTAAGTCATTCAATAAAATTGTTGGACTCTTTACACAGGATGCATTGTCAATATATCTATTGTGGTAACAGTTGCAATCCATATCCATATTATGAATTGAAAGGTATATCTATGTGTTTGTCTATTAGTTAACTTTTAAACTTGTCAAGGTTAAACAATTGAACAGATGTTAATGAAATTAGGTTTAAAATAAGAAGATATACCTATTGTGTTACGAAAAATGTACGCTATTTTAAATCACGATTTAAATAAAAATTATAGTAGTTGTCATTTCGACGGCTTTTTTTATTTTGTTAGATATATAAATCAAATTTTATATGACCTAGCCATCGTTAGATTCTATATGTACATTCATGCAACGGACCTACGGTAGTTCTGTTCAAATGCGCGATAACTTTTCCAATAATGTTGCATATTTATGTTATTTATATTTACCTATATGCAGCATTATTGGAAAACTTATTTTGCATTTGTTTGCATAGTAAACCTACTTTGAAATGTTATTAATTTCCAGGCTTGGAATACTCCACATACTTGCTCCATAGAGTATATATTGTTATGGAATAACCAACACGAGATAGATCGTAAGAAGTCATCTGCGTATGTAGGTACCTCCCTTAGTTTCACATATTTCAGCGGCCAATTGCTTTTAAGTGTGTTCTGCGTATACGTATAGATCCGATTTGCCACAATATACGAGATTTTTTATAAGACTTTTTATAAGGGACAATAGTGTCCCTTATAAAAAGTCTTAGCGTAAGTCAAAGGGAAATTGGTGTACTCAGATGCCTTATGCGGCCAACTCGCCTCCCCGTCTGCAACATCCACTGCCTCATTGCCCACAGTAACGTCATAGCTTGTGACCCACCGAATTGTGTTGGATGAAAGGATTGTTGGAGCACATGATAAATGCGAGAGACGTTGAGTGTTACTTGGGTTCTGAATTGATTTGATTGATGATCGTTTAAAAGTGGGCGATAACCGATTCGCAGGCTCTTGATATTGGTCAGGTCAGCCTGGTACACAATGCAGCTACAGTGCAATTTAAACTTCTTTTTTATAGCAGGCACCGTTGTCCCTGGATCACAGCATAGATACGAAGGCCGCACTAAACTTTTTTTTTATTCTTACATTTATATAGGGACTTTAAAATTTCATATGGCAATGCCAGTTCCATCGTATCTTATTACTAATCTTATCTTCTACTATACAATGAAAACAAAAATTTTGTTGGCGATGATACATGATCAGATAGTATAAAGGGGTACATACCAACATCAAGCCGTCCAGTCTCGTACACACTACATTAATACCTATGTGATGCAGGTCTTCTACAGTATTGCATGTTTTATTATTTATCAAATTTTATGTAATAATATTTTTATAGTGTTATAGTCAGTAGTTCTTGCACATATCTTTTCAACTTACTCTTAATAAAAACGGATTCAGAGTTTTGACAGTTTAAAAGCGATCTCTCCTCTAAACTTTTGAAAGGAGGGTTATTTTGTTTTAATTGGAATGGTAATGGCGGTTCTCGTGACAATAAGCGGTAACTATCGCCATGAACATGAACAGCAGTATGGCAATCATGTTATCATTTGACACCTTACGGGTGACACCACTTAGGTATAAGTTGTCATTCCAGAATAAGATGTCTAATCTCACCCCACAACCGAAATACAGCTTATAAAGCAAGCCGCTTGTGTGTACGCAGATGACTTTAACTCTGGTAAAATAGTAACTAAGTTTCTAATTGAGCTCACTAGATGGCGACTGTGACAATAATAGAAGGCGCTATGGTTTTGTTCTAGGGCAAATAATAATATAAATGAAGTGTTTTGCAAGATTAACTAATTTTACCTATATACATGAATAGTTATATTTTTTAATCGCACTTCTTACTGCATAGTACTGATGCTGCGACAAAATCTTACTAAATTATTTAGTTTTGCCATAGTAAGTTGTTAGTGAGTTGGGTGCAATTTTTTTTTGTAGCTTTACAGTCGTTGTTTTTATAATTGCAGAATTTTTCAATTTACTTACCTTGGTTAAGCTTTTCAAATTCTACATTTCAGTGGAACTTCTAGGCTAGAATGTGACTAAATTCTCTAATGTAATCGGCAAGACATGGCCACAAGTAAAAAATATCAATTGTAAACTCGCTGAGTATTGGAGTGTATACTAAATTATATCCCTCCAATACTCAGTACTTCATATAATGTTTGCAACATTCGCACACTGATTTCTCGTAAATTAATAAATCAAATACCTATAACAGCAGTATTACAAAAAAAAACAAAAACAATAGGTTCTTAACAACACAACATTTATTCCTTAAATATACATTAATATATACATTTCCACATCTTAAGAACCTGAGGCAAAAACTGAGGTGTTCCGTGGTCAGGCAGCTTCATGTGTGGTACCATTTTCCTTAAAGGTACAATACACTCATTTCATTTTCTGTCGTAGGTGGCTCCATGGATCTTGGAGCATGGCAGGATGAAGGTATGCATCAATGCTGCTTCGATTATCATGTCCATAACTGCTGTTGCTGTCACTCTAAAAATTTAAGTCATCATATTTATTCCTGTTTCATAATTGATAATGAAATGGTGAATTTACATTCATTAATGATTTAAATGAAATGAAATGAAATTTCATTTCATTTCATTTCATAGTAGAGAAAAAACGGATATCCAGTAACTATCGAGTATCCGGCCAAATAATAGTATTAAGGCTGGATGATAACTACTATTCAGTTTATAGAGAAGCTTCATGCTAATAGTACAGGGGTCCTAAATTAAAGACAAACCCAAAACTTTTAATGGATGACAGTATGAGTATGTAGTCATATCAGTTAGCCTATCATGACAAATTCACCTGAAATTAACCAAGATGATTTTAAGGGGGTGTCACAGAGCTTAATTCGTAAATACTGTTCCTACATATAATATAAATATACTTTATTTAAGTAATTTGTATATGTAAATAATCATATCTGCTTACCCCGTAACTATTATTCCTCTGAGAACCATTGCTGAACCTGTTATTATAACCAGTGCGTCTTTGCCCATTTGGTCCATTTTGATGTCGATTATTTTGATAGTTTTGATACCTCTGATTGTGATTACGGCCTTGCCATTTTTGATGAAGAGGAGTACTTTGACCTAGTGGTATAAAATCGTCGGACATTTCAATAAACTTCTAGTTGCCAACCGAGGGTCTTAACAGGTAGTATTATTTTAAATGCACTAATGTTTTTTACTTGAGTCGTACACCAATTAAAGAATAAAATGATGATAAACAGGTTACTAAACAGTTTACAAATATGAAAAATTGAAAACAACTAGTCTTTATCTTAAACACTCGAAGTACATTAAGAAATAAGTATTCGGAGACTTATCTATATTATTAAATGCAGAAATGTCAAATAAAATAAAAATATCAATGAAGTAAAAATCAAGGAATGAAAATAATTAACAAACAAAAATCGTTTTCATTATATCGGACTATAACTGACAGTCCAGTCAGATAATGAATGACATTGAAAGATTTTGATTTTTAATATTCATATATGAATATGACGGAAATCTCAACTTATTTGGCAGCCGTATTTATCTGATGTAGACTGTTCTGTGGTCGTATTTAAGAGAAACAATTCTAATATTTTAAGAGAAAATACCTACATCAAAATCATCTATATATGTTACATTATACTATACGGATACTTATCATGAGCAAATAAAAAACAAGCTTAACGCAGGCTATAAATATTCTGCTTAAAATAGTACCATGACGTCAATTCTGTCAATATCTATAGTACACTAGAGCTATAGTTTTAAATTCCTACATTAATTTCCTACATTAAAATTATAAATATACCAGTGTTAAGTACAATTGTTTTGAATTCCAATTGGTTCCTATTTATTTATATCCTGCTGCTTCAAATCCACAGAGTAAGATAATAAAAAATATAAAATATATGTAATATCATGTCATCTGGGTTATGGGTTAATACGGGCCCGCATTAACCATTTTAATTTTGTGCCGGTTTTTAGGCGAAACTAAACCCATACCGTTAGTTTATTTAAATACTAATAATTTATAAATAGCTTCTTTTCATTAATAATTCTAATAGATTAGTAATCCAAGAGACTCAACATGTTTGATAATGTTATAACCCCTTTTCTTGAGTTTAAATATGATGGTGCCCTCTGTCGGGTGAAATTGTCAGTTGTAATTATTCCAAATCTTTGTTAGCTACTCTACAATAGTAAATATTAAACTGTCAACTGAACAGAACCGTGTTCTTTATTATCATTAATCTGTGTGTATCCCCAATCTATAATTTTATATTATTTTTGTGCAAGATTCATGGGTTTTTATAGAAAAGTTATTATATTGTGATGTTTCCATAATAGTATCATAGGAAGATAAGTGGATGTCAAAATTTCCACATCTCAATCATGTGGATTGCATTAAAATCTCCGAAACTCGCTGTCGGTAAGTAATAATACGACATCCTGCATCAGTATTTTAGCGGAAATTGGGAACATGACAAGAATTTTAAGCAAATAGTCATGAATAACTTAATAATTTCTTTGCAATAAATTATTACATGTATTCCATTTATACTAAAATAGTAATAGCATAAACACTAATAATTATTTTGGTTTGTTTTCCATTGCTGTAAACATGCAACATTTGTTTTTATGGCAGTAATATTTTAAAAACTTGTATATTTATTAATGTTTGTGCTGTTAAAAATCCAGAAGCGAAATATATATGCAGTCTTAATTTTACTGCTGTATTATTGTTGCTATAGGCTTTTTAATTGTTGTAGTACTTGAGTAAAGAAACTGCTATTAACACAAAGAAATTAAACTTTTCTTCCTACAAAGGATTAATATTACAAGTTACTACAGAGTTTTCTGAGCTCTGTAATGTGTTAATAATTAAACAGAAATGTGCACAATAACATATATATTTTAACCAGCATCATTTAATTTTTTATTTTATTTATTGGGCATTAGCAAGAAGGCTGCAATCAACTGCATAGTTAGAAATAATGGTCTCAGTATTGTTTATAATTATTGTGTATTAATTAGTTAGGCTATTATTAAGTCTATGTGAGCATTATGTTAAAAGGGTTTTCCCTTTATTATATGGATTGTTATCTAATAAATGTATGAAATCAATCACACAGTAATTCATTTATTTTTAAATCTAATTAATTTAATTATTAAACAATATAATAGTTTTCACTAGTTTAAATGTGGGTTAGAAATAAAAAAAATATTTAGTGTAAACATGAATGTTCCTTTATTATAAATAATGAATAATAATGATTTCAATTTAACTAGACCATCTATAACAACTAATTTACAGTCCATTGATCCCATAGTCATAATGCTTTGTGTATTAATATTTGGATCAGCACTTATCTACCAATTGTTTATAGATAATCCTTTATTGTGTAATCATATCAGTTTTGAGTAAATAGATAAGTCAAGATTAATCTCAGATAGCCATTGATCAAATTCTTGGTAATTTCTTGATTATAAACATGTTCTTACTGCCTAATCTATGAACATACATCATGGGGTTGCAATTCAAATTTAAATTAAGAATTAATCTAAAAATAATGACACACAATGTGTCATTTTTTGATGTTGGTATCTATGAAAAGGGGAAGTCCCAATTTATTTTATAAAATTATAAAAAATTAATGTAACAAATAAAAAAGTGTGAGTACTTAATGGGAAGTCCCGTAGTCCAATGGTATAAAATTATTAAATAATTAATATAGCAAATTAAGTGTGTGTAAACAAAACATTTTCTTATATTTTTAATAAATAACTTACAAATAAAAACTATGAGACAGAACGACAGAGGGATGCATTATTATTTGTTAGGTGTAAATGAGAATCATGAGGGGAGAAATTTTATACAGATACCAAGACCTTTGACATATAGTGTAATGTTATATGAATCTTTTCAAACCAACACTCATATTTTCTCTCTCCACAGAATCTAGAATTAATCTGCTCATGTAACTCTGGATAAGCATTAGTTCCAAAAACTATACAAAAATGCTTGATTTAAAACAGTTGAATTGTAAAATAAAATATTTTACTGTTATCCTATAATTATGTGTTCAATAGACTAAAATACAATCCCTGTATCTTATCTTTCTATTTGCCAATAATGCACAAAATCAAAGCAGCAATCAAAAGCAAAGTTAATAATTAAATCATTCATTAACATTAATTATAATGTGATAAGAATTGCTATCAAAATATTTACTTTATCTTTACAGGTGTTTATAATTGGAAAGGAGATGTGCGATCAGGATTACCAATTGAAATAGGAGAAACAGTACAGATATTAGAAGAAAATGGAGGTAATTTTACAGCACACTCTGTAATTATCATATTTATATTAGGTTTATTTATGCCATCATGAAAGTAACAAATTAGAATGGATGAATAAAAGACAAAGTGCTTCTGTTTTGTATGATCACCCTTATCCCCAACTCTCTGCATTCCCCCGCCTTTCTTTACCTTTTTCATTTTTTTCTTCCACTAAAGGTCATAATGGGATGTCAAATAGGATACAACCTATCTGAAGTATTACTCTATAAAATGTAGAAAGTATTTTTCATATTATTATATATATAAAGCTAAAGAGTATGGTTTTTAATAACACTTTCAAACCCGTGACCATTGGAAGCAAGCCAGTATACAGTTGAGTTGTTGTATTAATATTAGTATAGATTTTAGTGATAACAAAACTACATACACATGTATTGTTTTTTCAGCCTGGTACCGAGGATTTAGTACAAAAAACAGATCAGCGTGGGGCATTTTCCCTGCCTGCGTGGTCTGCATTCGACCTTGCACCATTAAAGGCTTTGGAGCTGCCGCCGTTTGCGAGCTCAAAGAAGATCCTCTTGTTCAAGAAATAGCCTGTGTGTTACGGGAATGGGCACGACTATGGAAAAAGCTCTATGTGGTTGGTACATCAATATAATAATACTAGCTGACCCGAAAAACATTGTTTTGCAATATAATTTCTGGACAGGGTCAGCCTTGTCACCTAAGGGTATAAAATATATCATATGACTTATTCTCAGTCTTATCAAATTCACACCAAAAGTTTTATTCAAATCGGTCAAGTTGTTTCCGAGTTTGATAACAAATACTATGACACAAAATTTTTAGATACTTATCAAATATTTACTTGTTCACACCGTAATTTACGTAATTAATTTATTTTGTTAACAATAATAGGACGAAATAGGTCAGACAAAAGTAAAAACCCTAGATGACTTCCTACAAATTACCTTCAAAAGACTTCGGCATAAATTGTTATCTGACGATCAATATTCTAGATTAGATTATATAATAATAACATTAATATCACAAGATAATTTACGCAGCGTCTTGTCTCAAGATATGCAGTACTTGTATTATGGGTATTCAACAACTGATTTTTTTACATACAAAACATCAAATATTTTTCAATAAAATAAATGTTTGTACCATGCCAGCCATCGAACCTGCAGTGTACTAAGCTGCTAAACCATAGAGGTCATCTCCGTATTAAGAACAATAGACAATGTATTTTTCTTAAAACTAAAACAATCGAGAAATTCTATTAATTATATCGATATTTATATTTATTACTAGCTGTTCCCGCGACATCGTCCGTGTGGAATTTTATTTTATTTCTATAAAATAAAAGTAGCCTAAATTACTCCTTATTAGACCAGCTACCTGCCAAAAAAAGTCCCGTCAAAATCGGTCCAGCCATTTTAGAGATAAGCCTGAACAAACAGACAGACAATGTTATTTTGGTGTATGTACCGTATTTATGTTCATATGCATGTAGTAAAATTCTGTTATTTCAATGTTACAAACAGACATTACAATTTTATTTATATGTATAGATAATTACATATGTATTTTGTTAAAAGCACAATGCGAGGTTGAAGGACATCTCCGGCCATATCCGTTTTGTATGTCTGTAGGAAGAATTAGTCATAGAAATGTTATGTACAGAGTTTGTAGAAAAATCGATACAAAAATAATTATTTAATTTTTTTCGTCATTCTGCATTAATGATGTTTTAATTAGTAACAGGAAAATCGATAAAGAAATATTGGTATACTATGTTTATTTTGATTGGTTGCCAAATATTACTCGCGTCGCGTAATATGCGCAAGAAAAATATGTAACGCAATTTCAATTATGCCACACTTCCGCATTACAACATTATTCATTGCAGCTCCACTCCTATTGGTCGTAGAATATTGTTATAGGTATAACGTTCTTCTATAAATGGGTTAGCTCCAGTGGCTCATCTAACACCAAAATAATTTTCCGATTAGTTATACCGTAGATTATCCCGAGCATTCAAAGTCACAAACTTTATCCCTTTAATATGATAATATTTTTATTTATTTATATATTTATAGCCTTATACTGATAGTGAAGTTAATATTGTTTTTGTTCATTCCTATTTCACTGCCTCGTTTTGATATTAGTATGGATCAAATTGAGCATCTCTCCTTTTTTGTAGTCGGTTGAATGTACTGCCTTCAATTAGGCCACGAGTTGCATAATGAGAGTAAACGACAGATCTATTATATATACACAATGTCAGTGTTTTAGAAATAATAGCGTCATTTTGACCATGACTATAATTGCACATAACTATTTTAAAGTATCTACAGTCTGTTATTGTTTGAGATGTAAGATAATTAACCTCTATTGAAAAAATTAACTAGACTTTTAAACTAATCTATATTCAACGAGACTGACTAACTTGAACACATACAAAACCATACGATATCATTCCAATGACATAAAAATACGCAACAAAATTGAGCGAGATATAAGAGCTATGCTTCAATGAGGAATCGAATCTGTAACGAAATATTCGCCTAAGAACTAAGGCACAAAATTCATTAAATTTTCAAGTAGAAGCGCGGTACACAGTTACAGTTATCCTATTTTGTTGTGATTATTTATTAATGGACTATTATTTAATAGTCACTATTTATTTATCAGAATTATTGTTCATACCACTTACAGTTTTATCTTTATCAGAACAGGATGGATGTCGTCGATGACGGCTTTTATTGGTTTAGAGAATACTTTGTATGTTGTGACATATTGTTGTTAATTCTAAATCTAAACTAATGCATATGATTTTCGACGAAGGTAATGAAAATACTTGCATCTCATCATACGACGTAATACATAGTAAGGGACAAAATCGTTTATTTACCTACACTACAAAGTGGGTGTAATTATAATGCAGCTGGAAAATAAAATGGAAATAGGTATATATTATTACATATATTTTCATTTAAATATTAATTGAATCATCTTATGAATCATTATTTATCGAGCTAACTGATGCTTGTAGTGTATTTATTTATTTATTAACGTACAGAACCGATTAATATTGAAACAATTGTACCATGTAATTGGTATAGAATAGTAGATATAGGTACACAATTATGTATGCCCACTAGACTAAATAAAATATATCTATATTATTATTTTAATTATATAGTTTACTGCACTTGTAACACTATAAAACAAAAATATGGTTATACAAAAATGTGAGATGCTCTTCCAGCCAACCTAACGTTGTGACAGGGATGGTAGTTAACGGGCAACACTAATGCTCGTGTTTGAGTGATTACAATATTCTAATATATAATTTAAAACAAATAAAAACATACAAACATTTACTAAAGTATATAAACGATATATAATACAAAATTATAAGAAAGGTTTTATTTCTTTTATATTATTTAGTGTACTTACAGTTCACTGTATTGAATGAAATAAAATGCTTGTTTTATTTAGCCGACTTAGCGGCAACATCGCTTCATCACACTTATTATATTTTTCCTAATTTACATAATATCTGTTTAAATTACAGCCTATGTGTTATTCTGATGGATAAGCAATATCCGTTCAGTAGTTTTTACGTGTCAGAGTTACAAAACATTCATCCATACTTACACACTTTCGCGTTTATAATATTAGTAAGATATTTATTACGTTTGTAATGAATAAATACTGACGAGTGTTAAACGTGTTTTCGTCATTTGTTTAAAATGTGCCTTTTCCGGAGTGAATTCACAAAGTTCTAAGGATGTGGGCATAGTCGGTGCGCGCCGCTAGTTATACTAATATAATTTAATTTTTTTTGCTTTGTTCACCTAAATAGTAAAATGATTTGGAAAATTGTCCATTTCTTCGTACGTATCTTATTAATGCTGATTTCTTTAAATTTATGTTCAGTCTTATTCAAATTTGTAAAATGTTTAGTTGTGAACAAATACAAAAGAAATATTTCACTTCCTCCTCTATTTCCTACTAATGCAGATGTAAGCTCTAAGTAAATTCATAAGATAAGTGAGTTTGAACAATGATAACCAGATAACTGTTTTACTTTATTAAATGTTTTTCAAAACTATTTGTAGACCGTGGTTTCGTTTTAAAAAATGTATGTATATATTTACCCCGAAGATCAAACATGAAAAATTGTCTGTTTTTTTTTTTTACTTTGCGGTAATTTTTTTTCTTTACTTCCTAAAATTAAAATGTGAGCACATACTTGATATAAGTTTGTAGGTTATAGTTTTTATGATTAAGTAGGATCTGATATTTTTTATCCGGGGGAAGCTTCTGAAACTGAATGTAATTGGGTTAAGTTTTATGGTAATTACCATTTCGAATTTGTATAATTCTAAAATTATTTTAACAAGTAATCAATGAACAAACTTTCACATTGATATTGTTCTTTAAAATAAACAATATATAGTTACTGGTATTGTTAAAGAATATTAATAATCTCAGTGTAAAAATATTCTCCGAAGAGATAACAATTTATCTTTCTTTTAATAAACTATTGTAGCATCAATGTGTGAACAAATGCTTTCTATACATTTTTTTAGTCCAACGTATAAATAATACAGAAATATTCGGGCTTTCGTAAACAAATTTCTAAATATTTAAATCTATAGATTAATAATTCACTAGCGTGTTTTGGTACATTAGTGCTAATTTTCAGTACATTAATGTGAATTTATTTGACGTAAATTACGATGGAGAAAAAAGGGTTTTTTGTAAGTACTTCTTTTTATCCGTATTATGCTAGTGCAGTATAGGCTATATAAAGCTATAGGAAGACACAAAAACATACGAAATTAGAACATTTATTTATATAATTATATATAACTAGTTGAGTCGCGCAACTTCGTCTGCATCACGCTTACTTGACATTTATCATTATATATTGCCCAATTTATATCTTTTTAAATTATAGCCTTGTGTAATTCTGATGTATATACTATATTACTGTAAAGTTTCATCAAAATCCGTTTAGTAGTTTTTGCGTAAAAGAGTAACACATATCCATCCACTCATACTCAAATACTTTCGCGTTTATAATATTCGTATGATAACGCTGCATAATAATAATTTAGAACCGGGATAGGGATAAGTGCTAAGCACCTTGACTCCCGAGGCCGTCAACTAATGTAACACTTTTTTCCCAATTATAATATATGAATGAATTGTATCACAGGAGCGGGAGACATATCGGTTTAGTGCCGTGGCTAAGGTGATGCGGGAGCTGCTCAGTGGACGGCGGTCCCTCCTGGCCGGCACACTCACCCAGGATCAGACGAGGGCGCTACGATTGAAACTCGTCGCTAAACTAGATTGGGGGAATAGGTAAGTGGTAGTTATAAAAATACAACCAATAAATAAATACACCGCAAGACTTTTTACCGTTCAAAGAAAATTAAGGGATATAATGTAACTTTTGAAATAATTTCTATTCACATAAACTTTTGAAATTTTCATGTGAGTACAACTCATTCTATATACATAATAAATTATTTTTATTTTTATGTCAATCGAATCAATATCTTTTGCTACATTTTTTCTGTACGGTAAATAAAGTTAACCGGTTGATATGATGTGTGTAGTGTGGCGAGTCACATATTGGAGTGTCTAGAAAGAAAACACTTATCTGCATGTACAAACAAGAAGAGACATAGATATTAAAGTATATTGGAATGGTGTCGGTATCCTACTATAATTGTGTATGCTGAAATGTTGTGTATACTGGTGGGGCATTGGTGAATGATAAAATCACGTCACTTAGCGCGTCGTGACGAAATCACCAAGAAATAGTTACAGTGGTTACCAGGGATGACAGCGTGGAGTTCGATTTTACAGGTTCCGTTGGTATTGTCTCGTTAGTACCTACTCCCAATCCCTCTCAATTTAAACGCGACTATCAGTCTAAGTCAGATCTTGATTTCCTTTTCGTGATTTGGTTTTTCTCTTTTTTTCTTATACTGAAAACCAGCGGCATATTCATATAGAACTTGTCATGATATGTATGTAAAAATTCTTTATATTTTAACATTTTAGGGTGTTGACAACCCTTATCACTTAGTCGTATGAAAAATATACCTATAGCCAATTTTCAGATCTACTGAATATGCTTATAAAATTTCATAAAAATCGGTTAAGGCGTTTCGGAGGAGTATGGTATATGTATACAGTATAACTACATTGTGACACGAGAATTTTCTATATAAGATATACATGTAATTTCAACTTTCTCTTTTATTTAATTTTAACTTTTCTAATCTCTGTTTCTATTGTTAGTAACTAAAAAGCAATGAATAAATATTTTTCTTTTTGCTATATTTTTTCTTCTATGCTATGCTTTATTAAAGATACAGATATTTAGGTTTTATTTTGTAAATACATACATAATATACATAGAAAACACACAGACCGACACAAATGTCCGAGGAATCGAACCCACAGCCATTGTATAGCGTATCTATTTCCAGTTACGCAGCATATTTTTTTACCTCTCTTTACCTTTTATCTGTGTTGTCTCGCATACATTCTACTATAAACGTGGGGAATGAGTCGATAGAGCAATTTGAAAAAATAAAACATATAATTTCTTTATATTTTTTTATTTAAAAAACTATACTATTTCATGTAAGAGTGTAGTCATACGTGTACACTCTTCTCAGTAGTCTACAGTCTTCCTAATATTAGAAATATTGGAATGATATAAAAGAAGTTAAATGGAAGACTTGGATTAAAACCACATAATCTAGTCCACCCATTACATCTTATTTCTTACTATATGATGCTACAAGTCATAATATCAGAATATTTAGATGTGGTATGATATATGTGGGCTTATTCTTGTCCTTGTACTTAAATATAATATCATATTCTTACTTATAATCTTATAGTCACAGGGATACTGCATGTAAAAATATATCAAAACTATTATCCTAATAGGAAATCAATTTGCGTTGGTTATAGGAAGTCCTGTTAAATGCCACGTTCACTTCGAATATGGCTAATGTGACTGAACAAAAAATAACTTAACCTACAAGATTTTATTTCAAAACTATAAAAATACAGCATATGACAGAAAAAAACATAAAATTATACAATCGAAATGCATTGAGATAATTAAAATGGCACAATACCTTGAGTAAATAAATGTACATTAGTACATTGTATCTGCAATGCTCGCAGTGTTTTTGCACAGTAACTTAGTATATTGTAAATAATAATGATTAAATGTAATACGAAACATTACAAAATAAAATAAAAGTAACATTAATAGAATGTTATTATGAATTATAAATTTGTACTTACTGTCTTTTATTCGATTTTGTTTTGAAATCCAAAAGAGTGCCCAGTACTCTAATCACAGAAGATAAAAATGATTACGCTAACGTTATTCAGAGTTACAATAAAATTGTCATACAAACCGCTTTGTATAATAAACCTAATTTTAAAGTAATATACAACATATTGAACTCTAAAAATTAATATGAATTCATAAAATGATGTCTTTTGATAGATAAAACTAATATTTAAATTCATAGTGTATATCTTATATAATTTTTATAAATTGAGTTTAAAAACTTACAAGTACATATAAAACTAAGTCATAATTCGACACAATAATATTTATATAAGACATGATTTCACAGCGTACGATACGTCGTCATACTAAACTAAATATTTATACTTATGTCTACTTGTACACAATTTTTGCAACCTGGCAACTGATTGCTTATTTTAGTAACAAATATTAAACCTGAAACAACAGTCTTCACCGATATAAAAAATAATTTAGAATACAATTTATTTAATTCATTTCGTCTACATACAATTTACCACTGTAATACGTCATTTTTTTACTTTCACCCACAATACACCAAAACTTATTACAATAAAACTGAAGCGTAATAAAAGGCAAATTGAGGCTAATACACTAATGAGACTTTTGGTTAATTAACTTTAAAAAGGAATGTCAAGAATGATTCGTACAAGAGTAATCTTATCTTAGCATATTTAAAATAATAAATTGAGATAATTGCAAATATTTTGCTACGAGAGTATGTATCAGTCATTTTGAGATTTCATTGTGTCGTAGAATACATTTCAAATTACTTCTCTTTAATTAATAGATCAAATATTTGCTGTGTCTATATGTTGTAGTCCCTACCAAGGTATGGGCACATCCTTAACCTATTCCTTTCTTTCGTAATCAAAACTTGTCAACCAGTTCGTTTATTCGGCATATCATATTTATAGCCACGTTTTGTCAACACATGACATAATATCACTTGTTATAAAAATACATTCATTAACAGACATAGCTACTGTGCCCACCTGCACTCCCAGACTTCATACTGCGCTTACGTTTCGGTTTCCTTGGAGAATTTACCGATGTCCGGATATATCGGCGCCATTTCAAGGGTGGATGGTGCTGATGGTGCATTCGAGCCGAGGTGGAGCCGTCTCGACAATTCATCTAAGACCTCCCCGAATACTCGTAGAGACATATTCTGGCCGAGTAGGTGTAGGAGTAAGAAGTCTCCAATCTGAAATGATAATATTAAATTCTTTGAATCATGGTTTACTTATTTTTTTGTAGTCTCTAAAAACTATTGCATATATGAATTTCTAGTATGGATGTACGTATTGATAAGCTTGTAAGTTTAATATAGATCTTCTGAAAATCGAATACTCCACGAAATTACTGTTGATTTGTTTCAGTGAAGTGTTTTTAATGTGCGAAAGATCTGAGTATGTTTAATTTTTAAAAATATAGTCTATAATTGTATGTGAACTCTTCTAAATACGCAACTGTAACCTTAAATTCTCTGCTACATCTCACTTTCCAAACTAGAACACAGTTTACAAAGCAGTTTGCGCATCGGCAGAAATAGGTCAGCCATAGATCTAGAACTTTTTAACTTTTCTGGCGTAAGTTACATTTTTCATATTAGAAAAGTTGGCCTGAGTATCTCATCCATAAGGAAAGGTTATAGTAATTGATTTGTCAACCAACCTGGGTCTTTCTAACAAGAGCTTCCACGCCCTTTGGTGTGCCAAAACGGAATCGTCGCTTCAGAATTGTCTCACGAGTCCTCGGCATGAATATCATGGCTGCCGAATATAGAAGAACTAAACCGGACACCACCGATAAAATTATGAACCTGTAAAATTAAATATAATTTCAATTAAATCAATATTCCATTATTTATGTCGATATATTACAGCGAATCAATCGTCAGTTTAAAATGTACTTTGTGTACTTCTTTCTTCGTAAATAATTATTAATAATATATATCAAAGCTTAAATGTACAGTAAAATAAATTACAGTTAACGACTTTTCGAGACATGCAATTCTTAATGTTTAATATTGGCGTAGTAAATATCTGCAAATTGTTAATATTGGCACGAATGCTTGGGTTCATATTTATGGTAGTACAAATAAATAACTAGTCTATGCATTTTACACGCCGCCATCTTGTCTTACTCCAACTTTTGTGTTCAAATGTATTATCGAGATGTGTATCAAAATAAATCTTCGTAGATTTTATACAGTCAACAACAATGTTCTATAATAGGTTACAAATTGCAAGACTGCTTACCAGAACCACAGGAAGATGAATATTTTCTCGTTGAGGATGTTCAATGCTAGAACGCAGAGGGCGTCGTGTTTCTGAATTGTTCCGGAAGCACCATATTTGTGGAATGTGCATTTAGTTACTCTGGGGAATATTTCGATCTGAAAAATATAATAAATTAATTATTTTACCTTATATACATAGAAAACATTCAGATCGGTACAAACAATTGTACTCAGGAATACAAAATGTTAATGTACCCTGCGTGTAATCGAACCCGTGACCATTTGAAGTAAGTTGATGTGCTAAATAACTAAACTACCGGGGCCGATTATGAACATGTAAAGAATGCGACTCTAATAATAATATTATGTAATATAGGTTTGTTATAGAGAAAAATATAATATTAATTAAAATTTGACTTACCATAGGGTCAGTGCGATCTTCCTGGTTCTTGTTAGAAAACTTGACGACATCAGTACCGTAAGTCAAGAATGCTCCGCCAAGGAATGTGTCCACGAAAAATATATTGCCGACCTGTAAATAGATTACACTGTCAATGCGAAAATTCATCAAAGTACAACGTTGGAAAATGTTCTTTATGTACGATATAAATAATAGTTAAAGGGGACGTCCTTGAACTTGGTACTTTATATTGCTATTTCTGAGGACATTTTTGTTATGACTCCATATTCAATCATTTATAAAGTAAAAACATTATAGAGTTTTTAGTCTAAAACTTTGTACGGTTATTATTGGCTCTTGCGTGCGTGTTTAGGATTAGTAACATAGAATTCGTGAAGGGCGACACATACACGCACTAGAATTAGCAGAAACTAGATTTTTGTCAGCAATATGTATTTATTTAAAATAAAACATATATTCATACAGGAAACGTTAAAACCATGAGCCATACGTACCACATTGACGAAGTTCAATATTTCACAAAAGAAATATCCAAAAGAGTAAGCGTTGTGCATGTGCAGGGTATCCATTAAATACTGCACCAGACGGTTCTGCAACAGAACAAAAGTGATAAATAAATAAACAACGTGTAAAAAATCGTTGAATGACTATTCTATAATTTGGTTCTTCGTCCTAGTGTCATTGGACATCGCTTGTATCATTCAATTCATCTTATTAGGCACACTCGGTTTGCTTAATTAATCGTCTCATATCTCAATTGTTTGAAATTGAGAAGAAGCGTTATGCAAGATGTAAGACAAACTGAAACATACACTAGGCATTACGACAACAAGTTGCAAGTTACTTAGTGTATTAAAACAATAGATGCATTTAATTAGTATTATAGAGGTGGAGAAATCAATAAAAATTTTAATTGTGTGACTTATAAGTAGTTTAGTAGTCATAAATTGATACAACTATATTGAACCAATTGATATATAATATATATATGAATAATGAAATAAAATAATTTTGAAACAATTGACTTCGCTGGGTTATTCTAAAATTATATGTAAAACTTCATAATGTATTTTAATGATCACCAATAACTTTTTTTATTCTATATATATGTGGCAGAGTGATATCTTATAATGACTACTTTTAATCAATATATCTACCTGGCGGGTGTTTTTGTCATCGGCAATGTTGGCTACTGTTCCTCGCATACCATCTGAGATCATACGGACCTTGCCTTCCTCCCAGTTCTTCCAGATCCAATGGGGAGTGTAAAACAAAACACCCTGGAATAAAATGAAACATTGTTACATTAATGTAATTAATTGGTGGTCTAAAGAATGGATACAGTAATTTATTTATTGATAAAAAAACTAAATGTTTACAATTAAATTTAACGATTACCCACTTCACTTAAGAAAACAAAATGAAGATGATTTATATATTTAATAGCACGATACCGTAGCTCTTAAAAATAAAAAAATATTACTCGAATTTCATCCTTTGTTAAGGCATAGTAAATTTATTATTTACTTTTTACAATCATAGTAAAAAGCTTCAGTTCGTTTGTCTATTAATATCGTTATGTCAGTTTCTTGTAGATCAAGTTCTTTTGCGTATATTAATAAATTTTTATTAAGCGTGGGATACACATACGTGAGCGTATGCAAATTTCCAGACAGACGACACTGTCTGCATATTATGTAACGTACTCTGTTGGTTGCTACGTATGCATATTTGGTATATGTAGTATGTCCACTGTACAAATTGCACTTTTTAATACAATCAATCAATACAATCTCAGTTAACGGTCCGATGGCAAACGTGCTCTTAACATTCGAACTCTTAACTTTTGGTATTTAAGTCAGGATAGTAGCACTTTTGAATAGTCGCATTTTTTTATTCTACTACTCATTCAAAATGCAAGCTCATCGCGAGAAGAATGAGCAAGAAATTTGCGTGTTGCTCTTTTAAATAAATCCTGTTTTAAGTACACAAACATTAATAAAGATTAAGAAAGCGACAATCAACATAGAAACAGCTACGCTCTTAATCTTTGTGCAGTCAAATAATATGGATTGTCTATAAAAATAAGTAAGAATAGCAAGAGCTACAATAGTTTTAAAAAGGAACAAACTTGACCTATAATTATTTAGTGTTATATACTAACCTGAAAGAATAACATGAACGGGACCCATTGGTAATAGGAGTGTATGCGCTTGTCCTGTTCGAAGTCGTTGCCCAGACCTGGGTGGGCTACTTTTCTTGAATCGGAGTCGGGTAGCGTGAAGGTATACGTCACCCAGCAGTATGTGTTGAGAACGTGGCCAGGTATAGCGCTGTCATTGATGCAGCTAATTGGATCACCTGTAAAAGAAAAAAATATTTATTTATATATTTTTTACATATCACTGATATGTGTAACAAGCTGATGGTCACCTGATGGTATGTGGTAATTGTTAATATATGCAGGGCACTACTGACATCACATTATATTACGCTCTTTTGATAGTCTTGTAATGGCATGGCATGGCGTGAATGGTATTCATGCTTTGCTTTTTCGGAAAATTTAGATTTCACTCCTTCGCACCTTCTAATGTTACTACCTTATTTCACCTATAAACCAAAACAATCCCTTACAAAGCAAGCTGCTTTGTAAGAACGTATCTAGGATCTTAATCAAATTTAACATAAAGAGATTATCTCATGAAGAATTATAGGAATATCATTATCTCAAAAAAAAAACAATAGACAAGTTGCTGATAACAGCTAGAATTATATAACAATACAAAAACAGTTAACAAGCCAATGAACGCTTTCGAGTGGTTACGAAATCACACCGTTACTATTCTAAATGGGTCTATTTTTGTGTTTATCTATAATATTTTTATACATGCTGTTCTCGGCCCCGACATTGCAACGGTTGGCGGCGGATGCGCTAATATCTCGTGTGCTGCACTGCCCCCCACCTGACGATCAGTGGCCCTGATAGTAATCACCTTGACGCTGAGAGGCTGAGGGCTTAATTTGCTTTACTATTAGTACACTGTATACAGTAGTACAATACTTCGTAATCTACAATAATATCCAATGTTTTGTATCTAAAACGATCATGTTGAAGGTTTTAGGATTAGTATAAATTATACTGTACATGTATCACAGTATTGTTTTATATAACTCATTAAAAATGGTATCCTTGTTTATACATACACCTTCCGCGCTAGAAGACTATATAACTTTGCGGGTTATAAATAAATGTACAAGTAAATCGATGTTTTTATAACCTTGTATGAGATCGTAGTGAAACAAAATGGTATGGTGGTCGAAAATTTGTGCTTGCCTAAATAGAGATATTTTTTCCAAGCCAATAACTCTGTAACACGGATGACCGATTCATCTATGTTTGTTGCGCCATTACTCCGCCTATTGCAGAGCTATTTTGATGATTAATGGATAATGTACCCATATTGCTAAACACGTTAAATCGAATTTTAAATAAATATGCTAAGTTTAAAGTAAATATTTGGAATAAGTCCCAAAAATATACTTTATATCTTAACACGATTATATTTCTTATTTGTTTATTATTTAACGCATCTTGCCCCGTTAATGAATATTAGGTATAGTATTGAATAGAAATGATAAATAAGTTTATCATTATACATTGTGTAAGGATTATCATCTCTTCCTGTGAAGTTTTTGTTCACTCATAAATAATGCAGATATAATTAATATGATTATATATATAATAATAATAATATCAAATATTGGTATACGTCGTAATAACAATCGACTGTTGACTGCAGCCACGATTTTTATTTTAATCGTATAATTCGGTTAAAAAAATAATCAAATATAATGGAAGAACATCTGTCATAACATAATAAATATACTATAAAGTTTAAACAATACAGTCAAATTAAGATATTGTTGAAGTCTATTATTAGAATTATTATTTCATTAATGGTGTAATATTTACGTTTCCGAGAACCGTCTTGACTAACAGACCATAAAAGTACCATGTTTGCTAATATATTAAAGGTGTTATTTAAATTGGGGTTTACAGTATACTGTATTGCCGAAAATCTTTACATATATTGAGTTATTTACTATTTCCAAAGAAATACAAATAAGTAACCAATTGGATATAGTATGTTTATTGCACCATTATCTCGCCTATTGCAAAGTTATTTTGATGAACCCTTTCGGCCTTATTACAAAAAGATAAATCTGGTTTAGCACTAGTAATAAACCATTCACCAATGTATTCCTTATTACAAAATGAAGTTTATCTATAAATCGTGATTCGTCTATGGTCTAAAGTTAGACCTGCGATGCCCCTATTTTAACAGTGGTCTAAATGCAAAAATACAAACTCCATTTTAAAAATTCTATTGTTAGTTGTAGTTTTTGGAAAAATATTTTAACTAAATTAAAAATATATTAACTAAAAATATTTAAAGCTAATTTTACGACAATAAAAACATATAAAAGACGTTAATTGTTATTTTTTCACTCATTTGACTTTGAAATAGTCATCATTCGAACGATCCAATAAAAATATCTCGCCGTTCCTTTTCTCCGTATAGGACTCCTACTTATAATTTAAAACTGATTTTCAGCCTAATAGTACATTAATAAATATTATATATTAATGAAATAGTTATAATGAAGACATAGATAAATAGAAATAAATTTATTTTTAGTTTATACCTTTTTCTTTGAACTAATATTATTTTTGATCTTTTCAGTTTTCTGGTAAAATGGAACGTAATTGTACGGTGACAGACATGAGTGACTGATTTCTGTATGGAATACATAATGAACGATTTAACTGTAGTACTAAGTAGTCCTCTGTTAGATCTGGATTCGTAATAATGTTAGGTTTATTCCAAGTATTAACTTTAGGAATGGTTTAAACCACGACCATTTAGACCACGTTTCGTCCGAGTTTTAACAGATTTTTTGTAATAAGACCGATAGGGTTAAACTCTATACAGCAAATAAAAAATCTATACTGTATTGTTACGATTAAACAGTTTTTTTATTGGATTAGATTTTATATTGATTTGAGCTGAACCCTCGACTTCGTATACGTAATAAAACAATATATTATTTTTCTCTAGCATATTGGATAGTGTTACTGCCAGAGAAAATAGCAGAATAATATGGAAACAAAACAAGCAATGCTCTGGCGACTCATCTATATCTAGTCGTAAAAATTAAAAAAATCTTTTGTTTCTTTTGTTAAATCATTTGTCAATGGTACTTATCAATCATATAACAAACAAAAATTCTGAACGCTTTTATTATCAGTACCTATAGTATTTATTCATGTAGGTACACAATGTTAACAGTTTCCATTGTTAGACTGACCAATACAGAACCACATACAATTCAACAAAGTGGCCATTCTCCACCACAATGTGAGGAGTGACCGACTGTCAAAAGACAAGAATGTTACCAGTACTATTAAAATACACACAAAATTACGCGATAACAATGTTTATTCTATACAACCAATATTTTAGAAGCGTAAACAAAATCCTTGATAAATTGCCAACTATTACTTTTCAATTTTTTTTATGGGAAGAGATATGTCGACTTAGGTATGTTGAAAGAATGTCGGACGAATGGATGACGAAATAGATTGTAAATGAAAGGGTGCGGATACTGGAGGGGACCTTGACAGACCTTATGATAGATAGATATAGAATATTCTGTGACTTTGGAGGGTTTAAAATACTGTGAACCGTCTTTATTATATATAATAACAATATACCTAATAACAAACTTTTGCATTGCCTTTTTAATATGATTTTTTTACATGAAAGCGAATGAAGAAATGTGTAAGTAGATGATTTTAGCTTTCCTAATCTCTATCTACCCTAAGGAGTATATTAAATATAAGGAAATATCAGAATGGTATTATATAAAGTATATTTTTTAATATATCCTGATGCTAATAGTACGAGACAACGGCTCGGAAGTGTAGAATACTTAAAAAATGGCATTCTTATACATGGCTACTATATGAATCATGTACAAAATAGTTCAAGTGTAATTTTGATTGTTGTCGCGTGTATGCTAATTGCTCAATAACGAGTACTTAAGACAGTTAACACGTTTATTTATCGTATTTTCAGCCGTAAAGAATCATAATGTAGTGTCTTTATAGAGCGCCATTAGTGTCCTACGTACTACTCCATTAGTGGGTAATAAGTATTTGTACATAATGAAATATTGATGTGTTAATCATTTATAGGAATCTGATTAAGATAGAAATTTCATGAAATGCCTCCCCTGAGGAGACAAAATAGCAAAATAACCTATTATGCCTGCTCAGTTTGCACTTATTCATGATAGCCACTTATTAAATTAGTAATGCAAAAATTCGTATTAGGCCTTTGCAAATAAATAAGAAATTATAAAGAATTTATTTGTAGAGTGAACTGAAAATTTACTCATTACATAATTCATCCTATAATCGTAATGTAAGTAAGCACTAAAAAATAATGAAAAAAAGTCCAATAAAAGCCGTAACTGAATAGTGTCGTGTGAGTAAATCCGCGAGAACTGGCATGTAATTTTATAATTATAAATCCATGAAATCATTGTCTGCAATTTAATCATCTCGCGTTGTGATGCAAGCGATTCCTGTTATGGTAATTGTAGTTTACGCAGAAGCTAGTTACTGGCACGTGTGATAACAACAGTTTCCAATCAATGTAATATACCAGTGCAAAGTATAACTAAGTTACAACGCTATCGTTTGTGGGTCAGGGTGAACCGAGGTCCAATAATTCTAACATATTATTGTCTCTTGATGGCACAGATTTTTATTTATTAGACACAATACAATGTATTATGTTTTTGTACTTTGTGTTTTATTCATGAAAGTCGACATTGTTATGTATGGTTTAATTATCAGCGTTTTAGTCCATTGTATTATTTATATCAATGGAATAGTCATAAAGTTTTATTTATATGGGCATTAACGAAACTAAGCCATCAGGTTTAGCTTTGATAATAATATATAAATAAAATATAAATTTTGACACAATATTACTTTCTTATTTATTTTCCAATTAATTTAATATCTGACTGAGCCACAGTAAACCTAAATGACGAGTCTTCCATACACACTTGCATCTCCCCTTTCAACACCTTACAACCCTTTTTTTTAAAAGTAGCCTATGTCCTTTCTCAAGGTCTAGACTATCTGATATCTGATCCAAATTTCATTTAAATCGGTTTAGTAGTTCTGGGGTGAAAGCGAGACAGACAGACACAGTTATTTTCGTATTTATAATATTAGTAAGGATAGTAATTAGATATCTGTTCTTTATGTATATGTTACATACATATAAGCATATAAAACTATAGTTAACCCAGGTAGAATATAACAGCGTCTCGTCGTTTTATCGCTGGCATATGCAACTGTTGTTATGATTACTTGCACCTGAGGTGTGTTGCGATTGCTACTCATATGGCACGAACTGTGAATTGCTATCGCCTTTGCTGACTAAACTTTCCAAGCTCGCTTACAAGATGCTGACCGCAATTAGATTAAGAAACGACACTTGGTTATAAAATTGTAGGTACTGTTCCTAACCGATTTATAAAATAAGTTACTTATTTTTATGAGTACCCAGTAGGCGCCGATTTTAGAAATTATTTATTAGAGATTACTCTTTCTTTCCAGTACAATGATCAATTCATACACTGTGTCGGGGCTAACAAAAAAAGAGTCTTTTTTCTTGCCAATTTCTTTTTGTTGAACTAATTTTGATATATTATACGTCTAAAGATAATAAAATGGTCATAAGGTCAGATATTAAATGACGTTTCAGCGATGTTGAAATATTCATTGGTTTATCTGTTGATGGATGGACAGTTTTAGGTCAGCTATAAAAAGTTATAGTGCAACTTATCTGATGATATTAACAATAGAATATTACTTTTGATTTAAAAGGGTGTGAGAATGTAAACAATTTGATTTACGAATACAATTATTTTAATTATTTTAATGGAATACCTACAAGTGTAAAAGACGTCACAAGCTCATTTACATAAAAATATGAGTTATCTTTGCTTTTAAATATATTATTATTGCAAATTACCTCTATATATTCATGATAGTTCTCTTAGGGACTAGAGGAAGAGAATATATTGACTAAAAATCGATTTTTTTCTATGAATAGATTTTTAATTTTTTAAATAATAATAATACTAAATAAATTTTGATAGGAAAATTAAATTTATTATCGTAAATATTACTCCCAAGTTAATATCAAACTCATTTTGTTACCACAAATACTTTTAGTAGAACGTAATTTTAAATTAGCGAACAGAAACTAACTGTAGTATACATATGTTGTTCATATGCGAGTATTAAAACATGTTTATTCTCATAATTGAGGGCTGAGCGATAACATGACATAAAAACGGACCATAAAGGTTTATTTTATATACTGTTGCTACTTGAAGCTACTTACTTTGTGAATTAAGATTGTATATCTGCAATGATTGTAGGCGCTAGTGAGTGGTAACAAGCACTAATCATAATGATTACAGTTAAGACTCTAATAAAGCTTGTGTCCAGTTATAAAGCTGGTCTTCAATGGAGCACTTCACAAAAATTGCAGTATATTTTATAAGTATTATTATTTGTATTTCAGAAATGTGCACTACTTTTATAAGTAATAACATATTTTAGCGATTGAAATATTTTGTCCTGTAGTTTTGGCCTATTTTCTGTTAGAAATGACACGGCAATGCTCAAATTCAGTTTGATTTGAGATTTTACTCTTTTAAAGTAAGGCTGAAAACAGATTGCACATTTATGCTATATACTTATGGTACAAGAAATTCTTAGTCAACTTGTTTTAAATGAACAGGGCTGTAGTTTTCTTGTCTAATCGATCCTAAATTATAAAATGAATATTTTAATTGCTGATATGTACGATCATTCGCAAAAAAAAAATGCAAAGCATATTTTGGTAATATCAAATCTTAGAATTTATACTTATTCTACATTTCTCTAAATCTATTATTTGCCTATATCACAGTGATATTTATTAGTTCGAATCACGTACAGGTAGATTTTTATTTGCTAAAACAATTTGTTACGTCTCAATTTGGCAACATAACAGTTGCTTACACGGGGTTTCCTGAACGATGACCTGAAAATGACTCAGTTTATGGCACCGTCTGGACAAACTGTACTCTTGACACAGACCGTACTATGTGGTCCGTATGGTTTAGTAGGTCATGATAATTGAATATAACATGAATAGGCTTCTGTTGTGTAATTAGAAAGAGATAGGTGTTTTATCGACTTTCTCTAAAATGCAAAACGGTAAGTAGGTACTTTCACAGTAATGTACAATAAAATAGGATTCACTAATAAGGTTATTGGGTGGCCACTGTTAGTTATTATTTTAATAATAGGTACCCATTTAATAAATAATAGTTTCTTTCATATTTTAGTTTTGTTCAATATTTATTCAATATTAAATAAACCTATTACATTAAAGGTCGTAAATCTGTAATAGTTACTGTTTGTTTTTAATGAACAAATAGGCAATTGCGACTCGCAGTAAACTTTAAAGGTTAATATTATGCAAAATATTATGACGAATGGATACCAAAGTTACAGTTAGGTATGTCGACTGACTATATGCGAGTAAGTAGGTGACATACGTACTTACACGGAGTTTTAAACATTTGATATTTTACATAGGTAATTGTAAACTGTCATTGTCCTAGTTATTTACAAATTTTATAATGATTTTAAAAATAACATTACCTAAACAAAAAATGGACAAGGGAACTTATTTTGAAATTGTAAGTTGTAATGTACAGTGAGTTTAAAATATTACACAATATTTTTTTACCTATTTTGTTGTCATAATCTGTTTAGTGATATCTACTGAGAAGAATTTATTAGAAGTAGTTATTTTAAAATATTTAAGTCCAAATATGAATATAATAACATTAGCATAAATGAATGTGCGGCATATTGTGACAATATGCTTGGATAATTTGTATGCACTCACCTATTAGGTTATTGGCTGTGACGAGTATGCAGCACAGGAACAACATGGCTGATGTGATGCGATAATGCATTCTAAATACCATGTTGTCAATCACAGCCTTGTCGATAAGGTAGCGGACTTTGATGAAGCCCGCCACCGCGGATGCCATACCGAAGACGGCCATCTTGAATTAATGCCTTGTCTGGAACAAAAGAAAACACGAATTTAGAAAAATATTTACAGCACTACTAATTTTTTTTATATTAAATATTCATTTTAAGATTTTATTGTAGTATGGGCTGAGACTAATACTGTCTCTTAAATTGATAATATTTAATGCTCCATTATCGAAAAATTGCTTAAGAATCATAAATGTTATACGCTGTATTATGATTTCAGTCTATTGAAACTGATGACATTGGTGTAACAAATCTATCCTACTATGAATACGAGCGATTACAATAGCCGTAGTAAATAAATCCATGGGATTACTATCTATAAATAAATGGAAGCACCGTCGTGACAAGTGCCATACGCACCAAAACTAAATTAGAACGTAAACGGTAAACTTTATTACTGTTTCGATCTGAGCAATGTGTGTAACAGCTGTGTCGATGTCTTGCTTGCTTTTGATGGCTTAATTTTCATGTGAATGCTGATTAGTGACGCGACAGTGTCACGGATATGTCCCTCTTTGTGTCGGAAGTTTTCTAACTTTTCGTAATACGTTGTCATTAAACCGTTAGGTGAGAACCAAACCAGAATAGACGCAGGTACCAATGCCAGGGTCTCAATCAATGACCTCACACATAATTTAACGATGCGGCTACCTCGCCCACGCCCCGCATTAGGCATTTGGGTCCGTATCTTTTTATATACTAACATTTTCACTTAACTGCTAGCTATAAAATGACTAATCGTACTCACGTGCAAATGGGCCAGTAGGCTTTTTTTTTCATTTAATAAACCTCTAATTTTAGTACACCGCGACGATTTGCACTTTATAATCACGTGTTAAAAAATCTTTATACGTAATACGCTTGATAATCGATATTTCAATAATTGGAATAAATAAAGAATCCTAACTCGAAAATTTTATTAGTAAGGTCCTGTATGTATAGTACTTCCCAGCTATATCTTCAGCCTATTTCATATTATCACTGAAGTATCAATGTATACAAATTCACAAACTTGTTAATAAAACCGTAATAAATCAATATAGATATGTACATATCATTGTATATATAAGTGGAATAGTACGTAATTCTGACCCTATGTGCCCGCATAGTCTTACATTGCTAGTGTAGCTTATATTACGTACCTAATAGGCAAGCAGAGAATTCATGACAAATGGATCCAGCCTTGGCAACTTCTTGATCCCGTTCCTACGCTATGTCACATGTCCGCACGTTATTTAGGGCGACCTATACACGCGAGAAATTAATAATTGAAATTTATTACATACCTACGTTTCTAGTCACCTAAGCGATGCGTAGCATTTTTTACGTATGGGTATTTCGTGTTAATATTATAATCTTAATGTAACGTAACTTATTACACTTAACACAGTCAAAACGATATATTAGCTAAATATATCGTTTCGCTATAAGAATATTTGATATTTATATCTAGTACTATAAAACAAAGGTTCCTTTTTCTTGTGAAACTCTAAGGCCATTTTACACTTAGTTTGATGATTATACTTGCTAGGAATAGAGTTAGTGTAGTATATTATTATAATTTTTATACAGAATCGATGTATATTGAGTATTTTTGTAAAATTTGCTAACGTAATCTCGTAATCGTGTTAGAATTAGCCGTAAAGACGAATGTTGCGCTGGCGCAGGGCATGTAGCGGGTCGTCGACCGATCGTTGCTCGTGCGCCTCCTGCGTTTTGAACTCCCCCCATCCCCCCCACTGTCCCCTTCGTTGCTTTACTTCCCCCGACCCTGTGCTGATGCATCGCATGGCAACGCGAATTTTATGCGGAAACCAGTTTCTACGGCGACAGCGACACTGCCGTCTTCAAGCATCGCAATCTCGATGATCGATTATAGTTTAAGAGACTTCTTAGACTTGATTTAATAAAATCTTTAAAGGATATAAATATTATATCTATATCTGGGATTGACATTAGATATTCAAATTGTTAGTCGTAAGAATGGCAACAGCTGGGTTGTTAGTAAACACCTGCGCCTCAATAGCACCTGTTTGTTCTTTATCAACTTTGTAATTATTTCATAGTGTGTACTGTGTATTGAGGATCAAAATGAGGGCATGTTGAGGTAAAAAGTGTTTGTTAACAGGTTGGTTGACTGATAATGGAGCAGTGTAGGGAACGCGGGTGAGATGTGCATTCCATTCTTTATGACGGACGCAACCACATATACTAGCTACAAGCTCCATACCTGAACCATTTGTATGGTTATTAATTGGTGTTTACTTGTTTGTTCGCTATTCTGAAGTAATAACATAAGACTTAATTCTAGTTCTGTTATTTCAAAGGCATGAATATATGTTAACAAGCTACTTTACCAGCCGGTGTCAATTATATAAGTCGGTCGGCACGCGTCAACGACTCAACGTTGAATGGACACTAATTACAGCAGATGATAGCGACTCATCGACTTGGTGCGTCTGAAACGATACCGGCAACCTGCTCGTGGGAATGGAATTTACTCCCGATATCGATCCTACTCATGAATCTATTGGCTTACATCGACGTAAAAGCGTGTCTAATAACACGAAATGTTTCGGTCCAATAAAACCGTCTTGAGATTTGCACGTTGCAGGTAACCAGCTGAATGATTCTGTCGTAATTGTTTCGGATCACGTTTGGCCAGCTAAGTAGAAATATTTTCGCTGCAATCGTGTAGCACCACGTATCTTCCAAATAACATGTTTTATTATGTACTTTATAGACAACACGTACTATTGGCTCAAAACAAATTGTCAAATTGTGTTAAAATTGTCGTTCCAAAATTCTAGAATTTAAAAATTTTATGTTATCTTTAAATCATTACTTTTGAATATCTGTATTTTTGCAATTCCTCATTTTTTGTTTTGTGAAATTAATTATTGTATAGGTAAACATCCAATTGTATTAGGTTTACCTCTTAATGTATTTTATAATGAGGCCATTGGTTTTATTAATTTTATTGTTTCTCGAGACTTATGTCCATTATAATCTGTGATAATTATGTAATATTTTTTCCGCTTTATTTATCTAATGAAACGGAGAAAAACAGAATGTAGTGAGTGACTAATTTTGAATCAACTATTTTCAACATAATCTTAGGAATTATGGGTGTGTCATAGATAGATAAGTAATTATATTTGTCATTTCCGTGTTTACCTGTGTATGACAAGTTTCATTACCAAATATGACTTATTTGGTATGGTTTAGATTGTGTTTATATTTTAAGGTAGAATCTCTTATTATCTTTATTTCACGCTCTATTTATTATATTGCATGGTCGAGAAGGCTATGACTTTTTGTGATACAAATTTGTGAGTATTGTGACATGGTTAAATAAATACTAATTTGTAAACAAGTACTCTTATTTATGCTAGTGATACGCAATATCTTAAAATAATCAATATCAATAACAAGTTACAAATTAATATACCTATCTTTACTACACATAATTTAATTAGTGTTGAAACATTGTGACTATTTGCAGTAGATTATTTGTCATAGTTGATGTGTAGAATAAATTTCTTTTTTACATTATGATTTTTCAGTTTGTCAAAAATTTTATTTATATCTTCAAATTTGGTCATTTAACATCAAACATATCAAGATTTTAAATATCTTACATCTAATAAATTAACATCAAACTAAATTTCAATGTTAAAGTACCTAATGAACTCGCATGTAGGTTATCGCCAGGCGCCCCGGGATCATAGATGCAGGTGGCGTGAAGCACGCTCCGTGACCAGAATTCATTGACTATGACCATTTAATACATACAATTTTTGTTTGGAATGCTCTCACACTTTACTTACTACTAATTTAAATTTAAATCCGTACCCATCACGAATACTATACTGTTGTTAACTTTACTGTAACGTTATTTTGTCTAAATTTACGGTTATTACAATTACCTATCATTACTGTGATTCCCTGTCTATTATGTATAGTAAGTTAATAGGCAATAGTTACTTAATGGACATTAAATATCTTGTGTCTAGTAATGATTAGGTTCGTTAGTGATTGCAAAATAATAAAAGTAAACCCGCTCAAATTAATACAAGTGAATGAATGAGGAAATTATTAGAGACAGTCTAAATTGTTAGAATTGAATACTTGTTCATATCCGGCTTGATTGTAAGATACCAAATACCTTTTTTTTTAATGTTTGACGTGTCCTTGACGGGATCATCTGCCATAGTCGATTGTGGACCGTATTACGTGCTAATTGCTAACACTTATAAGCAATACGATTTTGAGTTAATACAACACATTGGACATAGTTTTTAAATATTTCACACTACCTCCAAACATTTATATTTCTCATGTTAATATAGTACTAGTACGCATATCGTGGTATTTATTTATTCAAAGCCGTGGAAACACCGGCACATTTCTTGCCTCAGTTGAACCTCGTATTGCTTTGTCTATTCAATTCAAATATTGTTTGTCCGGGAGACTAGCGTCCCTTCGCCTGTGAATGCGTTCATAACCCAGGTAAAATGGGAACATCTCGCTACCTGTGAGAAAGTTTACTCTAACATATCGTGATAATACACATAAATATCGCGCTGCACATTGCTTTTCATAGTCCTGAAAAACTGGTATGTTTTATTCTCAAGAAAGTAGACGGTGTAAAGAACAAATGTGTTGCCTTATGTACCTATAGGCTTTTGTTCCCGCACATGTATGCTGTCAAACAGCATTCCTCAGTTCGTCGATATGAGTTAAGCGCGTCTCGATTCTTCCCACTGAGATTTTGTGACACAACTTACCTTTTTAAACTTAACAGTTAGTTTACCAGCGTCTTCGGTGTATTAAAATTGTATACGCACTTTGTCTTTATGCACAACACAATAAACACAGCCTAGCATAAAATTCGTTCTTTATTTGAAGCAGTTAACGATTAACGTCATGATATTGACGATGTCATAATATGTGATCAAACGATTGCAGTGAAACGAGCGGCGACTGCGACCCGGCAGCACAAAACGCACCAGCTGCTGTTAGGTCGGAACACAAACTGGAAAGCTTAATCGGTCGGTCGCCCTCCTGCTTACTCGGTGACTTGCGCGAGTATTTCACTTCACTACTGAACTCAGCTGCGACTGCGTGCGCGCAAGTTGTATCGTTGGCTCTTTCCCTCACGTTGCTGCTCCGCTTTACCTGACCCTTCTTTTAACCCAACTACCCAAGTGAGTGCACAGTAGTCGGTAGCCGGGTCCGACAGAATTCACCGACGAACGAGTTTTTGACTTTTCGTTTCGCCTTACCTCCTTGAGTAATAATTTGGAAGTTACGTATGCCATTTTTTAGATGATACGTATTATGTTCACTGGTTTTAACGAGTGGGAATCGCTTGCGGGTGTTAATTAACACATTGTCGGAGGCTGTAATTTGTTTAAATATTATTAGATAATTATGCTTTAAATTATTATAGTTATGATCGATTGGCCTAAATAAATTAATTAATATTATTCTTGAAATAAGATTAATTTATTGATTTTTTTATGTGTTATTAGGTACTCAAACATTAAAAAAATTCTGGACATATTAAATATAAATCAGTGTTAAATTTTAGTTGCAATGAGTCCGAGATCTATTTTTCCGGTTTCCATCCAATTTATCAAAATGTATAGTCTACCTGCGTGAAATAATAGCTAATATTGGCAAACAATAGTTATTGTTAAGAATTATTATATAAAAAAAACTCCAAAGCACTTTTTGATAAGGTGATTTTATTTAAATCGTTGAAGTATTTTAGAATTTTTCCATTACCCACACAAACATAAAAATATCTTTCTTCTTTATAATATTAGTATAGATGGCGGAGTATAAAATATTAATAGCTATAGATGGTGTGATGGTTTGCCATATATTTTTAATTATTATGACTATTTAATATTATATTATTTATAATAACATATTTTTAACTACAGAAATGGCTAGTTCTGAAGATAAGTGAAACGTACCAAAATTATTAGGCTTGTGAATTCAAGTTCTATGTAAACAAAAATAAAAAAAAAAATATGTAAACAAGGAAACATTTTCGTTATTTCCCTAATAATGACGTCCTTTATGGTCTAACGGTTTAACACACCGCCTTACTTCCGATGGTCGTGGGTTCGATTCCTCGCACGGCACATTTCATTTGTATTCACGCATATGATTGTTTGTATCGGTCTGGGAGTTTTCTATGTATATTATGTGCTTAGCTTGGGACTACATCGTGTTGTGTGAATTGTCCTGAGATATTGTTATGTTAATTTTTAATTACTTAAATAACATTATTCGATTTATAATTATGTTGTACTAACATATAGTTAGATAATATGCACATTTATGGATGGCTGTATCATTGTAAAGGTATGCGGACTCTGGTACCTGTTCAGATTGAAAATAGGTGCTAAAAAAACGTCGACTTAACATTCTTTCGCACGGGCATACCAGTTACCATCTCTCCTAAAGTATTCTAGTCTTTAGTTTTCTTGTAGTCTCTTATGTTTTTTTTTGTTTTTGTAACAGGTTTTGTTGAGATTTCGTTATATAAATATCTACTTTTGGTATCATTAAAATGATATGAGATCTAAACAAAGACTTGTTGCATACAAACGAACTTTAGTTACTTAGGTAGGTCTGTACAATTGTGTGTGTGTGTGGTAATCAAAGTCTAACTGAAAATATTTATTAACTAACCCATTTTTCGGTTATTTATTTTTGCAATTATGTAGGTATATATAGCAATTATTATAAATGAACAACTGTTGGGATATAGCAAAATATTTATTGAGTAATAATTACATTTTGGCCGGAACCCTAGCGTACGAATTCGACGCAATTATTATTGATAGTTCATGTTTAATATATTTAAATACTTATATACATAGAGTATTGACCTACATCTCAGAATAACAGTATACCTACAAATAACAGGTAAAGTGTTTATATATATATATATATGTAGATGTAGATTTATTACAATGATATAACGCACAGATACATAAGATTACTAACATCACTTTAAAAAAAATGTATCTTAATAATCTTCTTAGATATACTTTATAATAGGCCCCTATTTTTCTATGTATTTTAGAATTTTACATGAATATCTTTGTAATAGTTGAATTTCAACTGTAAAAGGTCTGTTGTGATTTGAGCAGAGTTAGTTTTCTCTCTGTGTGGTGTACCTTAAGTAGTCTAAAATCAACATACTGATTCCACCATAATACCTTCAATAAAATTTGTCTTAAATCTAAATAGTCCTCACAGCTATAAAACATGGCGCTAACATTTTTTATAGTATTTTAATCCAGATATTACATCATGAAGCAGACAACCAAATTGTATATATAACATTTAAAGAGCAGTTACAGGTTATAGAGGAATCGTAGTCTTCTGGAATGACCAACATCATGTTTGCCATTTCACTTAAGAAAAAATCTTTTATCATTGTATTCATCATCTGCTTTTTCTTATCCCATTTATTTGGGATCGGCGTAATATGTTTTTTCTCTTCCCTTCATCCTATTCGCAGTCATCTCGTTATGTACCTTTCCGAAAAAGTGTTGGATGGACTGTGTGAAAGATGATATGGTAATAAAGGGAATAAATTAGGCCGACCTTCCTCTGCCCTTAAAACCATCCACAATCATATGTTAGACCTTTCTTAAATCTATTTTATTGTTATATTATTGGCACATAAATATTATATATAGTATAGTAAATATATATGAATTTCTTACAGTGTACCTACGTGTGTTTTTTATAACAGACAAACATTTTAGGTACCTGTGGTAATTAATTAATAACGTACATTATTTAATTATAATTAGCCACTAAGTACCCAGCTACTCGGTTTACTTGTTCCAACTGGTGTGTTTGTTTGTGCAGACCTATTGTTCTATTTACGATATACTAAACTTGTTTACCTTGCCCTTCATATCTTCACAATGATACAGATTACGCTAGGAGACATAATTTTCGAGTTCGTTTTGCATATTAGGTCGTTTTACTTCGTATGTAAATTTTATATTATAATTAATATTTTATTACCATTTTATATTAATAGAATATTATAAAAATTATGCGTGTCTTTTTAATTATAATTTAATTAAAAAGACACGCATAATTTTTATAATCCATATAAATTTAGATGGCTGGGAATTATTAAAGAGGCAAGTGTAATATTATTTTTTTCAATACAAGTAACAGAGTCGTTACTTGTATTGAAAAAAATAATATTATAATAATAATAACCCTGCATAATTGTCAAAGCGCCGTCTAGTTCCAAACTAAGTAGAGCTTGTGTTATGGGTACTAGACAACTTATGCAATTTATTAAATACATTTTAAATTAATACGTAATATACATACATAGAAAAAATCCAGAGCTATACTTGGATAGGAATTGGGAAGGAACTGGCTTCTGTCATACGGCTAATGCTAGTTCAGAAGCCAGGACTACTGCACACACACTACACAGAAATACTGAAAGGATTGATATTATCTTGAAAGTGTACCTATTGTATAAATAATATTGTAACGATCCTTCTGAATTAAATAAAGATTATTATTATTATTATTTCTTTACATATATATAATATATCTCCCTTTGATGGGGTAATAAGGTAATTTTTACCCGCAATGATAAGGCTATCATTGCGGGTAAAAATTACCAAACAACAGTATAAATGATGAATTATGACGATGGAGAATTATTATACAAACAATAATACTCATGAATACAAATGGTGGGAAAAGGAATTTGTCTGCATCAGGTTAAAAAAAACCGATATAATAAAATCATTCGCGTATACATATAATAAAATCTTGCACTACATTATATTGCTACAGAGAGTCACATGGGCTGTATTTTATTTTCAATCCAATTAAAGATGTCTATCTAGTTGTTAAAATGCCTTATCTGAAGCCGTCCTGACTGACTAGTATATAGATCTTCTTTAGATATTATAAAACAAAGTCGCTGCTGTCTGTACAATTCCATCTTTACTCAACGGATTTTAATGCAGCTATCAGGAATAGATGGAGTGATTCAAAAGTATGATGTGTAAGTATAATATATCTACAGAAAAGCCGATAAATTTAAAGATTTATAAAGCATCCGTGAGAAGTCGGATCGGGTCGTATTAATATTTAATATATTACAAATCCTCCTTTAAGTCGGTAGAAAATCTCTACGTGATATTCATCACTTACAGATATGGAGTATATGTAGATATGCTTTGTCTACATAAATACCATACCTTGCGTGACATTCCTGTAATATGTAAGTGTTGACGTGTGCGTAAAGTAATATTTATAACGAATAAACTAATGTCGTAATATGTATGAATGAGAAGTACTTGAATTTGCCTTAAGTGCTCAAACGGTTAGGCCCACCGCATTACTTACGACTGGCAACACAAACATTTTTCACAAGTATGTTTGTTTGTATTAGTCTTTGTTTTTTCTATGTATATCATGTATGTATTTAATTATTTCTATCAGTTGCGCAGTCTCCTTAACACAAGCGTGCTTAGCTTAGGACTAGGTGGCGCTCTGAATTGTTCAGGATTATTATTATTATATATTTCTTTAATTTGGCAAATCGTATAATATACATATAAAAATAGTTCTATATTTTTAGTAGGTACATGTATATATTTATAATCTCAGGTTAGCAGCCAGGAAGCATCATTTGTATCATGTACCATAATTTTACCCCAATTTTTTTTATACTTGACACTGGTGATATTAAAAATTTGGTGACTGTAGTATAATGTATTATATTGTTAAATCTATTATATAAAATCGCATAACCATGTAAGAAAACTTCTCTGAAACGGTTTAGCCGACTCTTATACAATTTTTTTTTCTTTATATAAACCTGAGAATAGGAAGTAAAGTATTTTTCTTACCTCTAACTAGGGTGGTCCATATCAAAACGTTTATCAGTTTTTTAATGAAGAAAAATATTTCCGTTAAAATTAATAATATAAAAACCTAAATTGAGTTAATATTAGCTATTTTAAATTAATACTGTTATTTTATTAAATTAATTTTTA